CAACTATTGTTACATCTACAAAGGAAGCTTATTTTCCCTTTTACTAAATGGATAAATTGCTTCTTGCTGTAGCTTATTTAATGTTTATTGTCTGTAGCTTGTTACTGTTGAAAGGTGCTATAAAAACATGTGTAAGTAGAGATTGTTAAAATAGAATAATACCTTTTAATTGTCTGAAGATAGTTAATACTGAATACTTTTGGGTTAGAAAATTATCCAAATTGAAAGTAATTACATTTTATTACTTTGAGCAAACAATATCATGTTCCAGGGTTTATAAAAGGTCATCCTGTGGTTTCTTTCATTAAAAAAAAATTTTTTTTTAAACTATTTGGCTGTACAAATATTAAATAAATAATAAAAACTTTCCTGTTTTTAGATATGAGGGCTATTTTGTTGAATGGGCAAAAATTCATTCTTAACAGATGAAAATGCGCATATCTTTGAGTAATAAGTTATAATTAAGCTATTTCATTGATTTTTAAGATGCATCTCTGCAGTGGAACAGTATCTTAAAATTGGCTTGCCATGGTTTCATTGGTCACTTCTTTCTTAGCAGGCATAAAATATGTCTGAAAATTGATGGTATCTTAGATTCAGTGAAATAGGGAATATGTAGAAATTTTAGCACATTGATTGTTTAAGACCATCAGCTTTTTCTGAAAGATTAACTTGCATTATGAAGATACACAACATTTCTAGATCTTTCCATCTAAATTAGAATCTTTTGCTTGGAAGATTCCTGTAAAGACACCCTCCACCCCCGCCCCACATAGAATAAGTGGGAAATCTGTGTTTATAAATATAAGAACCATTTTTTGAAAATGTTTAGAAGGAAACAAACTGCTTGGTGAGTTTTCATGGTGAGCAGATGGTGTGGTTAGTGTGTTTGAGGTAAAGTATATCAGACAGTATAACCAGGTGATGAATATGTTCCCCTCTCTCCCCCATTCTGCAAAGTTTGTATGTCCACTAATAAATGAAACACCCTTAAACTGGATTTCAACAATTCATAGTTGTTGTTTTAAAGAGAAATATGTTTGAAAAGAAATCTCAAGATTTCTCAGGACAGAAATCTCAGGAAAGTCAACCATGGGAAGAATGTTTACACTTCTTCCTCAGGTGGACTTACGCTTTCCTAGCTCAGAGTGGTCCTGAACCAACAGCATGTCAACGCTGAGCTTTTTTTGAAATGCAGACTCTGGGACCCGCCCCCGACCTACTGAGCCAGAATCTGCATTTTAGCAAGATCCAGCTCCAAGTACTGCGTATGACCCTAGGAGAAGCACTGGGCCACATCATGCTCTTAAACTTCAGCGTGTATTGCAAGGATTGCTACCTGCTGCCCCCAGAGTCCTGCTTCAGTAGGCCTGAAGGGGCTTGACAGTTTGCAACTTTATCAGGTTTCCAGGTGATGCTGCTAATGGTTCAGGGACCATACTTTGAGAATCATTAGACCGAAGCCGCCTCATTGACCTCCCTAGTGTCCCGTCTAATTCCTCAGCCCTCGTAGCATTTATAGATTTTTATGATCATGTTTAGCTTGACTGAAGCAAAATTACATTGTTTTTAATAATTTTAAGTGGTGGCTATCTAGTTCTTACTAAAATTGCTCGTCAAAATCTAATTTCAGAGAAAAATAGTCCTTTTTTAAATGCTTGTTTGGCTCTGCTTTATAAGTGGTGTCTTTCTCTGAGTTACACTTTTAACATTTTAAAATTATTTTTGCATAAAGAAAAGATTCATAGGGTTCAAAAATTAAAATGGTATGTTGGAGGAGTCTAATTTCCAGTTTGTCTTGGTTTAAGCTGCCCCTCCCTGCACAGAAGACCTCTTCTCTTCTTCCCTATAGATCTGTGGTTTTCTTTGCACAGGGATGCTTACACGCGACACACACCCCCCTCCTTTGGATATGAGCTGAAGCACACTGTGTAAAGTATTCTACCCCTTGTTTTTTTCTTTTGGGATCTTTCCATATTAGTATATAGAAAATATTTATTGAACAGTTTCAAAATATTTCATTGTATATCCATGCCTTAGCTTTTTGAACTTGCCCCACAGATGTATATGTGATTTTTTTCCCAGTCTTTTACAATCATAGGAAATAACCTTGTACACATATCTCATGTATGTGAGGTGTATCTGTTGGATATTTTCCCAGAAGTAGGGTTGCTGGGTCAGTGAACTAGTATTTATAATTTTGATAAAATACTGCTCTCCTCCAGGCTATGGCATTGTGAGCTCTCGCAGATAATGCAGTAGAGTTTCTGTTTCACCACAGCATTTCCAATAGCCTCTGCTGCTCAACCTTTGGATTTGAATTGGTCTGATAGATGAAAAATGGCGACTCAGTTTAGTTTCAGTGTGCATTCATCATGAGTGAGGCTGAGCATCCTTTCATGTTTGCAGGCTAGTTCTGTTTCTTAATGAACTGTCTAGTCCTGCCCCTTGCACATTTTTCTTTTGGATTGCTTTTTTCTTATCAGTTTCCAGGAATTTATAAATTAGATTAACCCTTTGTAAGGTGAGTTGCAGTTTTCCCCTAAGTTTATCATTTTTTAAACTTACTTTCATGTGTTCTGGTGTAGAAAAGGCTCAAAGGTTTTTCTTTAAATTTAGACAGTTAATAGTAATCTTTTTTTAGTGTCTGGGTTTTGATTCACAAAAAGCGCTCCAAGAATTTGGAATTGCAGGTAGAATACCTGAAAAGAGCATGTTTTCTTGTAGATCTTTTGTGGCTTTATTTTTACATTTAAAACATTGACCCTGGTGTTCAGGGTGTGATGTATAGATTCAGCTTTACCTTTTCCATGTGGCTGCCAGCTGCCTACCCACTGTTTCAGAGTCCATCCTGAGTACATTTGTGTTGCATTGGGGTATATATCTGGGCTCTCTGTTCCATTCCATTGGTCTCTCTATACATATACCAGTACAATTACTGTTTTTTTTTTTTTTAAAGATTTACTTATTTATTTTTTTATACAAGCACCGGGTACAATCAGAAGCGTGGGAGGGTGAGAGAATTCACCAGAGCCAGAGCGGGGAGCAGAACAGGCAGACTGATGAAATACAGTCTGAGGGGAGCGGCGGGCGGCAGGAGAGGTCTGTGCGCCATGTGGGACCCTCCCCCAGTGGCTGGGGAGCAGCCGGGGATTGAACCGGTGCTGCAGAGGCTGCGGGCAGCTTCGCAACCCAGCACTCAACCGCTGCGCCACCGGGGAGGCCCCCAATTACTGGTTTTATAAAACATTTTAGTGTCTTTGAAAACTAGTTTCCTCTGTTGCCCTTTATTCTTGGCAATTCTTGCTTGTTTATTTTTCCATGTGAACTTTAGAATCATTTTGTCTAGTTCCAGAAAAAAAGTCCCTTAAAAAATGAGATCATGTAAATGTATAAGCTAACTTGGGGAGAATTTTTATCTTTCGAATATTGAATTTTTCTGTTCAAGAATATGGTATGTTTCTTCATTTGTTTGCTTTTATTCTTGAATTCTTTTAGAACATTTTAATGTTTTTCTCATACAGGTTTTGCCCATTTCTTGTTAAATTTATTTTAATTTTTTTTATCTTTATTGCTTTTGTGAGATCTTTATTTTTTCTAAGTGGTTTTGATTGTATGTATGAAGGCTGTTTATTTCTGTATAGAACCTGAAGTAGTAAAGAGTTTTTAATAGGTTGTAAATTCTGCAAAATCCCGAATAGGTATTTTTCCCTAAAAGAAGGAAAGCCTTGAGGGTCAACTTGCAAAGTATAGTTCTGTCGGCATTTATTAGCTCTGTGGACATGGGGGGATCTGTTTGACTTCTCTGAGCCTCAGTGTCCTAATCTGTCTTTGTAAGACTTTAGGAGATTAAAGACAAAATGTGAAATTTATCACAACTCAACTCAGTCCCCACTGGTGCTAACATGGGTGGTGATTGCTGTTCTTTTTTCTACTCTTGCCCCTCTCACCTTTAAAAGAGAAATTAGAGACTGTCATAAAAAGATACTAGAATTGAAGTTAAAGCTAAGTTCTGAACCAATTTGATGAGGATAATCAGTATATTGAGGACAGAACCAACTTAGCCCAGCACTGAGGCCCCCTCCTGTTTTCCAGCCTTACCACTCACTGCCTGCCCGCTTGGATGCACTCTAAAATGAGGCCCTGTGTTTCCTGTAACACTGTCCATTCCACCCAGAAGATTCCGCTACTTAATTCTACTAGTTCAGATATACTACACTGCACCCAGTAGAAAACAGCAGGTCTGCCCTGCAGCTTGGGCCTGGAGAGACTATGTCTGCCCTGCCCACCAAAGAGTGTCCAGCAGAATACCTGGCAAAGAATAGACAGACACTCAGATATTTACTAAATAAACAAATGAATAATTTGACTTTGTTTTTCCTTTTGCCTTCAGTTCTCTGTGTCACCAGTGCTCTGTAAGCCATTGGTGACAGGGTCGCGGGGGTATGCCCACTCATGCTAGTAGTAGTGATAACAAAATAAATAGTGTTGGTGTGGAGGTGGGCCTATACAAGATTTACTCTAGAAGAGCATATAATAAAATAAAAACAATAATTAGCATTAATTGAACATTTGCTATATTCCAGGAGCTGTTTGAAAGTCTCTGATGATGATTATCTCATATGAGCACTAGCTTTCCTGAGTTGGATGCTATTATAGAAATCCCAGAGGTTTAAGAACTTGCTCAAGATTCTACCAACTTGGAAATGGTAGAGCTGGGATTCAAAGGTAGATGCCCAGCGTTACAAACCCACTCAGCCTGGTCCAGTGCTTTACGCCAGTGTGCTGAACCATCACTTAGAGGCCCTTGAACAGTTTAGGAAATGGCATGGAATCATACCTGCCACTTCTCACTTCCCTTCCCAACCTTCCATTTTAGTAATGCGTTCTTCCAGTTTCCCTCAGTTTCCATGTTGTCTGGGAAGCTGCCTCTGGCCACCCTGCCTGGCACGTGGTAGGTGTTCATCCAAAAGTCATTTTTACTTTTTCTTTTCTTCCAGGTTCACAGTCAAGGTGCTAAGAAAGAGAATGTAAGACAGGAAGATAGTTAAATCTTTACTGAGGTAAGTTTTTTGTATTTTTTTATTAAAAGAAACCTCGCTGTCTTCTCCACAATCCATTTTGTAACGATATAAGAGGTGATGGTTTTAGGAGTGTTTAATATGTTCACAGAGCCTGGGTCCCAAAGGTGAATGCCAGGAGCATGGTCTGTTTGAATAAGGTCATTTGACTTTCCTTAACTCTTTGAATGTACTCTTAAAAATTCCTGCATTGAGGCCTGGTACTGAGAATGTGATCCTAGGTGATTCAACTGCTGGGAAACCCATAAGCTCCTGGGAGATTGTTACACTTGCAGCGGTTAAAGTTGAAACCGGTTTTGGCACAATAGCAACACTTCTTTTTCCGAAGTGAAAATTTGTTTTATTTTCTTTTTATAAGAATCCCACCCATATAAAACAACGTAATAAACACCTAGTTCCTACCTTCTAGAAGTAACTGCTCTTAAAATTTTTGTGAACATACTTTCAGAAATTTCCTTAAGGATATAGAATTATTTATATACAAATCTTTAAATGAATTCGTTTGTACAAGATGGTGGTCTTTTTAATGTTGCAATATATTCTGTGCATGTCTAAGTGTGAGTAAACATAGGTGATCATTCACTGCTACATAATGGGCTATTGTTCAGCGGTATCATACTGTATTCACTCATCATTTTGATGGCCATGTATATTTTGCCTGCTTTTTCTTTCTTGTGGATTATGGTGTGTTGGTCCACTTCATACTTGCATCATAATATCCTTCTTTGTTTATCTTCCTAAAACTATGACTACTGGGTCAAACATGAGACCCGTTTTAAATGTTGATACATATGGTTAACTGCTCTCTGTAAAGATTACCCATTTATACCCGCCCTCCACCGCAAGTGTGTTTTATTCAACAGCCAATATGATACCTGCACATACATGGCAGTTGCATCAATTTTGAAAGAATTAATGGTGTATGTTGCTATCATTAAGTTAGAATTAATATGCAAATACATAAAGTTAAGTAAGAAGTTTAAAATTTCTAGGAAAAGAAAACTTAGCATCTTTAATTATTGTATACAGTAAGTCCAAACATGCATTCTCCCTTAACATTTAGTGATGTTTTGTTTGGACTGTTGATTTGGACAATATCCCATTTATTTTCACAATCACGTACACTACAGTGTTGTAAGTCTGCTTTTTGTTTGTTTTTTGTTGTTGCTCTTGGTCAAAGTAATTATCTACACTGGATAAGATGCTAGGTCTTATTAAAAAATCCAATTTATTATAATATAGGAATATGTAGTATGTAGGAATATTTAATAATTATTACATTTCATATTCTAATATAGGAATATTTCATATTATAAAGTAGGAATATTGTTCAAAATTATGTTATTTGCAGACAAGAATAAAGTTAATGACTCCAAACACTTTTAATTATAGTAGAGGAAAACTGAGCCATATTTTAATTGTGCAGTTCATTACTTATTAAAGATAAAAGTAGAGAAATAGCTTGCCAGCCTTGAGAACAATGTCTAAATCTCTGTACAGTATCCTTACCTATTAACCTTCTGTGATGCCAAGCCAGTGTCTACCTTCTAGAAATAAGACAGCTACAAGAACCAGAAAGGATAGAAGAGTTGTGCAGACTCTTGTTTCCTGTTTTGTTTCCACTGGAATGTGGATTGCATTCTGAATGCCTACGCTGCAAAGATGCTGGCACTGGTGATTTGAAAATTAAGTATCAGGCTCACCTGCTTACTGAGCCCATCCTGGGTGAACGCCTTTCCTAGTAGAATAACAGAGGACTCACATAGGATAGTGGGAGAAAACTGAATCCAGGTGTCCTGTTACTTCCCCTTCTACTAACTTCTCATCCAACTGGGGACAAAACTTAACCTCTAAGATAAAGTGTGAGCTAGTTTTAATTAGTGTTTTAGCTAGTTTTAATTAGTGTTTTAGCAGCAGTGAAAATACTTATAAAAGATTAACCCCGTAGCAGTTTTTATTTGTACTTACTTGCTTAGCACCCCTTTCTCAGTAAATAAAGTTAAGTCTAAGGTGTTTTGAAAGGAAATTACTGAGTCTTCGTTAGCAGGGTCTAGATGAGATGATACGGATTTTCCCCTCTAATATATTGTGGCTAATTGCATGATCTTTTATTTGTTTGCTCAAATGACCAAAGGTTCTGGGTTCTTGAATTTCTTTTAGGAATTTGCTTTTATGGTAGCTTTCATTTTACTGATGAGTTAATTTCTTTAATCACACGCTTTAAAACCCTAATTCTAAAAATAGTCATGGAAAGTGAGGAATTACTAGTAGTAGTTGAACCAAAGTCTTCATTAAAATCACAACTTCATCATTTATTTCTCCTCTTAAAGGCATGTCTAAAAAATTTTATACTAAAACAGATTTTAAGACATTCTTGTGTATTTAATGGGTTGGATTTTGTGCATTTGTAACAGTTTCTTCCTATTTTAGGCATAAAGCTTAAAGTTTAGACTGGCAGTATGAGTGGTTATTTGATTGGAAAGTTGGAAGGAGAAGTTTTGTCTTCATATGCAGAATTTGTGGTGCTGGAATATTCAGATGAAACTTTTACAGTCAGGGTGAGAGTCCTGAACTGGATTGGGAGAAAAAGCATTTTTCGTAAGTGCTTGTTTGCAGCATAGCTAGTACCTCCCAAGCAAAACCAGCACCCCAGGTTTGCTTCTGTAGTTTCTGTCACGAGTTGGTCTCTCCCAGAAACATCATTAGCTCAAAGCCTTAGGGATAGGGTTTTGGAAAGAGGAGCTGAGGGTGGTCCTCTGGGCCACAGGTTCCATCATGAGCGCAGCGCTCCAGCCTCTGAACCTCCCACCCCCCCCCGCCCCCCAAGAGGCCTTCCTTTCTGACCTCAGCAGCTTTGCCTTGTGTGGCATGGTGAGCCTGGGCAGGTGAGTGTAGATGCTCACCTGAAGGAGCCTCCCGTGTGGCCCATCACCATAATCCCTTCCACATCACAGCATGTGTCACAAATGAGGAAATTCCACACTAGCTCGCTCTTTGTGCCAGTTTGTTCAGAGGACACTTAGTTCGTGGTAAGGGCTGTGTTTGTGTATGCTAAAACTAGTAAGTTTTGTTTTAAATAGATTTCAGTGTATTCTAATGTAACAAAGTTTTTCTGTTGGAATGTTCTAGCAGCCGTCACTCAAGCATTAATTGCTGTCAATGGGAAAGGATATCCTCCTACATCTTTCTGGCGTGCTTGAAACCATCCCACTTCCTTTTTCTTTTACCTTAAGAATGATTCCTGACACTTGGGAATTATCATCAGATTGCATCAATCTTTATGGAAAGGTTACCAATTATCGCACTGAAAAATATGCATTTCTCTCTAACAGTGAGTGTTTCTCTTGGTGTGTCTCTCAGTTCAGTACTTTTAAATACCTGTTCAGTGAATGAATGCTTTGTGTCATTGCCTGATTTAATGTACTTGAAACAGACTTTATGGAAGACTTTCAGTTCTATTGGGATAATTTATTCAATATGAAATTTTTAGGATCTTTTGGTTGTTTAGATGTCCTTGGGGTAGAAGGATGGCTGGTGTCAACTATGTGTACTATGATGCGGGCTCTGGAATAAGTACTGCTGTGCCGCGTTGATCGCAGGGAGGGTGTTCAGGTGGGATGAGCGCAGGGCCGTGCCCTTCGTGTGCTGTGGCTTTGCTTTGTTCTCACTACAATCCTGAGGATATATGGTCACTCTAGGTTTAGAGAACAGAAGGACTCCGTTGTGACATTTGTCTTTGCGCACATAACTAGTGTATTAAAAACAAACACTGTCCCCACTTTCTATGTCACTGACTGATAAAGGAAGGGTCGAGTAGTTCCAATGTTTCCTTTTCTGTAGACACTGAAATGTTGCGCTGCTGCTTTATAAAACTACTTTATCATTCTCCTCGCCATCCTCTTTCTAATCTTCTTCAACATCAGCTGGCAAGGTATTAGGTAGGGAGAGTGGTGGAGGTGGGGGGACTCTGTGATCAAGACCACTCGGGCTTACGTTAATGACTCGGCTGGTTTAATGTAGTGGTACACCGAGCTGCGGCCAAGTACAAACAGACCTTCTGTGGGATGTGAATTTTGTTGTAGGAGAGAAAGCTTGTTTTCCCTTGCTCTGTGCTAATAAAGGAGCTGACATATTTTCTCATGAGTTATAAAGGACTTTGACTTATTTTAATCTGTGTGATCAAAAGGAAATGAGCAGTTCTGATAAACATTTTTCTTCACATAGTCCCTAGTTAATTCTGCTCCATACCTGCCCACGGATTGCAAATTGTGTGCTCTTTCGTGTTTTCCTCTTTTTACTTTGGGTTAGATTTTATGGTTGCTCATGGTAGGGGGATAGTGGTAGGAAAATTAGTCATTTCCTCATCTGAACAGATTGTGTGTTTTTATGACAGATTATGTGTTTTTATGACAGATCACCAGCAGAGTGACTGTGCAGAGGTGATTTGATGTGGTTGTGTGTAATCATTACACGGTATCATCTCTCGAGATCAAATTCGCGTGCCATCAGGTTTACCCCACAGTGTCCACTGCAGTTGGTTTTGGTACGTCCACGGGGCTGTGCACCCATCACCACCGCCTCCCCCTAGGACATTGTCATCACTCAGGAAGAAAACCCCACACTCAGCCTCTCTCTAGCTGCGGCCACCGCCAGTCCTCTCTCCTTGCTGCAGGACTTGCGTGTCTGGACATGTCACGTAAAGACGCCCACGGTGTGGCCTTTTGGGGCTGATTGCTTTCACCTGAGTGTGATTTCCAGGTTCCTCTGTTTTGTAGCCCCTGTCAGCATCCTCTCCTTTATGTTCCCGAGTCACACTCTGTTGATGAATATACCACGTCCATCTGTGAATGGCTTCCACCTTATGATATTATGATACTATGAGTAACGCTGTGACTGTCCTGTGTGTGGAAGGATGTGTGTAGAAGGACCTCCATGTATTGGAAGGACGTGTTTTCCTTTCTCGTGTACATGTCTAGTTGTAG